CTTATCTTTCACTATGTCAGAATCTTTCAGGACTGCAGCATTCTATGTTTCTAATATCTAGGCAGGAAAACAATCAGATTATAAATTTGGCAGCAGTACCTAGAGTAATGCCTGGCACGTGATAGGTGCTGAGTGAATGCTCCAAGACCAAAGGGTCTAGCTGTTATCCTGAAGCCCAGAGATACACTGAGATTCTTGTATTGATCTTGACTCCAACCCCCTCTCCTAACACATGGCCTCAAACTTGGCCATATTGGCATTTGAAGCTGGGTAATTCTGATACAGGGCACTGCCTTAGGCACTGCAGGATGTTTAGCAGCATTCCTAACCTCTACCCACTAGATGCCAGTAGGATGCCCCAGTTGTAAAACCAAAAATGTCTTTAGATTTTGACAAATGTCCCCTGGGGGGAGGGTGGGAGGGCAGAAATATCCCCTGCTTGCAAATCACCACCCTAAACTGAAGGTAGCTATGTGAAAGAGATATGGCCTCAAGCATTAGTTGAGTCAGCAGTAGTAAATCATGAAATGTGATACGAACACACACGAGGAAGTGCTCTTCTGACCAACAATACCTCCCCTGCCCTCAGTGTTCTTTAGGAAGGCTGACCATAAACCTTTTAACTGAGATCGTTTTGCAGAAAGTTGAGAGCAAATGATGAGCAATCAGCCAGGGAAATGGTTCCTTTTTGTTTTAAGGAAAAGAACAGCCACTCAGGAGTAATGTAGTCATTTGTAAAAAGCAGGTGTCTAGGAGTTAGTGTGTGTAAAGGGGAAAAAATTGGATAGGAAATCAGCAGACTTGCATGCTAATCCTGGGTTGGCTACTGACCAGCCGTGTTCCATAGGGGAGCGCTCGTCACTTGGCTGATAATAAGGGGGCTGAACCAAGTGACCCATAAACTTTCTTCTCCTCCTCAGGTGTGAACAAAATTATGGATTTGTTGTTCTAATAAATAGCCCATTATTATGTATTTTTGCAGAGGAGGAGCCATGCTTTGACAGAGTACAAGGCTAGAATCAGGGAGGTGAAGATTAGGAGCATGAGAAGATAAATTATGGGGTTTGGGGGATGCCAAAATCTAAGATGAGGGTAGTGGAGTTTCTGTCAAAAGGAAATCAGAAAGTACGATGAGTACGACCCAAAAGCCATAATACATCTTTGCTGGTCTCACTCTCTTTCTATGTGTGTAGGCTGGTGGTGAAGATGCTAATGGGCCACAGCTAGCAAGCTAGTCAGCTTCCCTATAGTGCCTCAGGAGGGTTTGCTCAGAACAGTCTCTCTTGCCAAATGTGAAAACCACGATCATAGGTTACTGTCAGCAAAGGGCAATCTTAGATGTATACGGAACCTCTCATCAGAGCATTCAATGGATTCAACTTCCTTCCTTTATTTTGCAGATAAGCATGTCAAAACAGTCCATGAATATTATGTCTTGTAGAAACCAATGTCATGATTCATTGACTAAAAAAGTAAAATGACCTTGAAAGGCTCTGATATTCAATAACATGGAAGCCAGGGTAGGAAATATCTGGCTGGATTTTAAACATTTGAAGAGTTTTTCAGCCATTTTGGGTTTGATAGAAGAGCAAATTCATTTTATGAAGCAGTCTTACCCTTACTTTCTAAGCATGATGTATGTTGGAAAGAAATTCAATCCATATGTTTTTGTTTAATTTTACCTAAATCATCAAAATATTATTTCTTAAGATTTGTTTGATGTCTAAGAAGTATTTAAGCCCTTTGAATAATTTAAAAAATATACATTTTTTCCTCTTTAAAACAGGAAATCACTTATTAAAGAGTTTAAATGGGTTTGGACACAAATGAGATTCAGACTTGAAATCCTGACCCTGTAAGATCAGGGCAAGTGAAACTTGCCAAAATAGACTTTCCCATTCCTCCCCAAAAGTCAGTACCTTGTGGTATCATATTGTCAGAAGAATTACTTGGGTATAGTTAAACAGAATGAAATGTTTTGTTATGTTTTTCCTCCCAGTCATAGGGTTCGTAACCTCAGTCACCTTTGACTCCCCTCTGTCTCTGTTGCGTTAGTTCTCATATCAGGTAAGTCACTAAGTTTTCTATCTCTTCGGTCTGTCCCTTTGTCAGGACTTCCATTGCCTCAACCTCCCTGAAGCTTTTGTCTGAATCATAGTATTTGCCATGCAGTTGGCACCTTCCTTCTCTCTGGTTTCTCCCTGCACCTTTCCAACGTGTGTGCTGTTGCTTTTTAATCCTTACTGATACATTACTGAATCTTCCCTAAAACAATCACCCTTTCACTATACAACCTTCAGTAGTTCCTAAGGCCCATCCATCCTTCAGTTTTATTTGACAGTTCTCTGCACACACTGCCCTAGTGGATTTTTTCAAACTGCTGGCCGGTACAGAATCTCTCCTTTGGGTGGCTTGGTTGCTCTGTGAACACAACACATGTACACTGGTCCATCATGCCTTTCATCCACGTCTTCCTACTCATTCAGTGAGAAGCTGCCTAAGTTTCACTTCCTTTCTGATGACTCCTGCCTGTGGGATTACTCCCTCCTGAGAGTTCTTACAGCAATTGTTCCTCTTAGTTGATGTCTGAGCTTACGCTGCTGCATATAATAACTTTTCCTTCATACGTGTTTTTGTCTTGCCTATTAGAGACTCAGTTCTCCAGCAGAAGTTCACCAAGTGTGGTCCCTGAACCATAAAATTAGCATCACCTGAGAGTTTAATAAAACAGTAATTTCTTAGATTCCACCCTAGATCTGCTGAATTAGAAATACCAGGGTGGGGGCACTCTGTATTTTAATTAACAAGCTCTCCAGGAGATTTGGGTGCATGCTCAAATTTGAGAACCAGGGTTGTGAAAGAAAGATACAAATCTCAGAGTTCTTGGCCTCCTGCACAAGGCCAGAGTAAAGCTGAAATGTGGAAGCGACTAAATTCTAGGTAACTTGAATTTTAAGACAAGTTTTCCGTGACAGGCAAAGAAAAGAGAAATGCTTTCAAAAGCTATGAAATTTTAAGAAAGAAGAAGCTACCATTTCTTACTGATTGCAATGAAGGATCAAATAATTTACAAGTTTAATGGTAATCCACTTGAAGAGAATTTCTTCATTTTTTTGCTTTTTTCTTTCTTAAGGATTTCAGTGTTGTTCAGCACTGAGTAATCAGATGATGGCATTCAGCACACTCTTTCCAATATTCTGAAAACTCAAAATCTGTGGTTTAGAGATGATTTTCTTTCTTGGAAGATTGTGTGCTTGGTAGCCATATGTGAGCATGGAGGATAATTTCCTTTTCTTCTATTTCTCATTAAAGTCCTTTATTACAGTTTAGAACTCTTATGTAAAGATGAATGTGTTGCTATAGAATAAAAAAATTGTGGTGTACAGAAAAATGGACCGTTTGGGTATATCTATACACCAGTAGAGGGGAGAGTAAATTTAACTGTTTTTAATGGAATGTAAATATTTCATTCTTTTCTTCTCTTCCCTTGTCCAGTTTACAGACTTTAGTGCTAAGGGGAGCCTTAACCCAATTTTACTTTTTCCACACCCCTCGAGAACATTGTACAATTAGAGATGAACGATATCAAGTCCCTGGCCCTGGCAGACCTGCATATTGGGCACTGAGACAGTCTGACAATACTTGTACCCATGAGACCGGGTAGATGACAGAGGGGTCAAGGAGCCACTTCCTCATTTCCATTGTAGTAGTCGGTGAGCCTTTTTTTTTTTTTGTTTTTGTTTTTTTTTTTTTTTTTTTTTTTTGTTGTTATTAAAGACAACAGGTTAGTCAGTGTGACATTGGAGGAAAAGGTTGTGGTTTGAAGTCAGACAAACCCGAGTTGAAATCCCTGTTCAGCATCTCTAAACTAGCCATTTGTTTCCTATTTGTTTTTCCCTTTCTAATGAGGGTCCTAACACCTGTCTGTCCTGCAGTGTTGTTGAAAGAGGTATTGATAATGTATGATGTACATGGCGCAGGTGAGACGCTCAGTAAATGTAATTATTATTGTTAGTCTCTGACTAACAATTACTGTTTGGAGTTCTTTTGTTTTTAATCTTAAAGACATAACTCGAATGAAGTCATCCCATTCCTTGCTTTTTAAATTTCAGAGAGCTCTGCTTCTAATTGTTCTTTTCTAATAGTAACTGGGTTGCATTGATGTAAAGTGTATTCAGTGATTTTTCTTTTGCTTTTCCTCTGTTCTTCCTTATTGAAGCTGTACCTCTTGAGTTTCTATGAAGCAGGTGTGTATCACTGTCAATACTATCAAGTCTATCTGGACCTTCCTTTTTTCATGGGATTAGTATTTGCTCATCAGTCTCTGCCAGGCTCTGAGGATGCACAAGTGTGCACGGGGAAGAGTCAGAGAGCTGAAGTGAAAACTTGTTGTGACTAGAATTATCCTATTGTCCAAATTGTCCCTACAAACTCAGACTTAGGAGTTGTTGAAGCAGGTATATGCCTATGTGATGAGATTTTCCAGGGCTAAATAATAGGACATTTCCCAGTCTGTTTATAGTAGACATGATGCTTCCACCATGACAGTGGGTGTTTAGTCAAGGACTTTGGATCTTTTATTTTCTGATGAAGGAGAATGTGTGCAAGAAGTTACACTTTTCCCCTGCAGCATTCTCTGAGCACATTGGCAAAATTTCAGTAACAGATCAGCAACACTACTTTAGTAAAGAATAGGGAACTGACAGAATACACTTACGAAAGATGTGCTTTCACTGGAGAGGCCATCTGGAGAGGACTGCCAGGACAAAGGCAGCCTGGCCAGGGTGGAAGACCTTGGGCCATTAGGGTCTGTGGTCACCTCCAGGATGACCCCCAATGATTCTCACTTCTTGTTAGTCACACTCTGTGTCATTCTCTCCCATTGTGAATAAGAGTTACCTTGGTAACCAACAGTACATTGTGGAAATGACTCCTAAGTGTGACTTCCAAGGGTAGGTCACAAAGGACATTAAAGCTTCTGCCTTACTCTGTGAGATCCCTCAGCTCTTAGGGGAAGCCAGCTGCGGTGTCAAGAGGACACGCAAGCAGCCCTACAGTTTCTTGGGGTAAGTAACTGAGGCCTGCTGCCAGCAACCAGCACCAATTAGCAATTAGGTGATTGAGCCATGTGGGAGGTGGATTCTTCAGCCCCAGTGCGACGTTCAGTGACTGTAACCCCAGCTGACATTTTGATTCCAACCTTTTGAGGGACTCTGAGGCAGAACCACCAAGCTGAGTTCCCAGCCCACAGAAACTGTGTGAGGTAATACATATTTATTGTTTTAAGTCATTAAGTTTTTGGATAATTTGTTAAACAGCAATAAATGACTAGTACAGAATCCAGCATGTGGTGCTAGATTCCTGGAAGAAAAGAGCAAATTAAAAAAAAATATTAAAAGGGTAGATCAGAGAGGCCAGAGACAGACATTTTCTTCGTTTTTGCCCCAAAGTGGTATTGTTTACGTGTTACAAAGAGCATGTAGATATGGGGCTGGCATTGATGGAAGAAAATGAATTCAATACCCAATTCCCAGAGCACCCAGAAGAAAGGAAAAAAAGGCAAATGGATGAATGTTAGTTTGGGAAGGACACCTGAATATGAAGACTTGGAAATGGATCTGTCTTTCAACATCATGTGAAGTTTTCATAATTGTTTTGTTCTTGAACAACCCTTGGATTTCATCAAACAGTAGGACCACAGTAATGCAGGTAAAAAAAAGTCTCTGGAGATCCTTCAGTCATTCTTTTTATTTTTCCTCCAGCAAGACTGTAGTTAAGGCCACCGACTATCTAGCTCACCTTTAAAATGTCAACATGCCAATGAAGGCATCAGTTTCAAGGCTTGGCAAAAGGTTTCACATTCATTTAAACAAAAGGAGTGCATTCTAAAATTATCTCTTGCTATATTAAATTATAAATTATGTTTGTACATAATTTACAAAGAACTTCAGTGACATATTAGCATTCAGGTAAGAAGGCCTTGTCTTATAGAGTTAAACAAAAATTTTTAAAAAACAAATTGCTTTCTTACTACATGGTTTTATAACTGTCAACTTTTTATGTGTTTTCAACTGGGGGAAAGGATGAGTTTCTTTGGAAAGGGGCAAGGCAGGAAATCAGTAATGATTCATACCACTTTTTCACATGCTTCTCTGACGAGTTTTAATCACAAATCTGGGTCCACTTGTATAACAAAAACATTAAAAGAGGGTGTTCTAAATTGCGTCTTTTTATTAATCTTGTATTTGGTCTTGTAAATAATACACGCAAGCACATCCTTGTTACGTCAGTTGGAAAGCAGTGATTAACTAGCTGTTCAGGAGATGGGAGTACCTTGCAATTTTATATGTGCTTCTTAAGTAGCTGTGTGTTTTCTCTTGGGCGATTTAATTTGATTTAGGCAAATATGTTAAATTTTAGCATTTAATTGATTTTTAATTTTAATGATCTTTTCTATCTGCCTCCGCATTTAATGGCAATTTTTGGAACTGCCACAGTAGTCTTTTGATAAAAGGGCACATTTACTTGAAAGAAATATACTTTGTTATTTCTAAGTCCCTTTGAAATCACTGAAGATGGTTTTTCTTTAGCTTTCCCTTCAGCCTAATTCCTTTTCCCCTTTGTTTCTATTGGGATGAGGTAATCCTGGGTCTGTAGAGTCTTTTGTGATGGAAATGGCTATGACCACACAGACGCAGCATAATATTTACTTGGAATAAGAGAAAGAGAAATATCAATAGTGCTTCTCACCAAGCATTTGAAAATACTTGTGTCTTTCATTTCCAGAAAGAAAAATACCACTTAGCATGTTTGTTATTAATTTGGTTGACTGAAACATAGTGTGTTCATAAATTTTGAATCAAAATTGAATGAGGAGAGGAGTGAAATTTAAAAATTAGTTATGGCAAGGTCTGAAGTTATGAAGGCCAGATGTATTAATGATGCATTACTATAGTATAGGACATTCATAAGTAAAATAAGGAAGTTACATGGAGCTGAAGAAGCTCAACAGACAAATAAGGGTGTAAATGAGTACAGAACCTAGTTTGGTTGTTGTAGCCTGATTCTGGAGAACCTTTTTCTGTAAAGGGTCAGACAGAAAATATTTTAAGCTTAGAGGCCGGTAGGCCTCTATCACAACTACTCAGCTCTGCAGTTGTAATAGAAAGCAGCCATGGACAATATGGAAATGAATACATGTGGCCATATTTCAATAAAACCTTATTTACAAAAGCAAGCTGCAGACCAGATTTGACTTGCAGGTTGTAGTTTGCTGCCTCCCATCCTACAGAATGTAATTTTTCTTATTTACTTATTTGTAGAATAATGCATTGTGAAGGGAGTTTGAAGCAGATTCTAAGTATAGGTTAAGCAGCCCAAATCTGAAAATCTAAAATCTGAAATGCTTCAAAATCTGTAACCTTTCCAGTGCCAACAAGACATCCAGAGCAAATGCTCATAGGAGCATTTTGGATTTTGAATTTTTGAGTTTGGGATGCTCAACTGGTAAGTATAATGAGTATAATGCACATTTCCCCAAATTTGAAAAATTCCAAAATTTGAACCACTCCTGGTCCCAGGCATTTCAGAGAAGTTATACTCAACCTGTATCTGTACAACATTGCATCCATAAAAATGTATATGGCAGGGTCAAGGGACAGTAGGACCTGGAGAGATTTTGTGGGTAGGAACGGAGTGGGCTCTAGCATATACTAGATTGAGTACATCTATTGGTAAATCTGGGACTCACTTGGGAGCAAAGCCAGTGTCTGTGGGCCATTCCGTTTTCATTTGAGTGAATTTTCTACGTAACCTGTGCTGAGAATCTGCATAGATGCCCTTCATATTGGCATTGGTGAGAGCCTTCCAGGTGGGGCCCTTGGCAGCTAGGGGGTTGATGGTTGAAATGAGAAATTTCCTACTCTATACCCCAGTGTGACTAAACAGGCCTAGCTCATCCCCTCAACCTCTGCCACTCCACTCACCAAATGGAACAGAAATGAAACACAGCCTCTTTACATGTATATATCCTTTGTCCCTATACTCCCACTTGCAGGAATCCATCCTAAGAAAAATTTTAGGGAAGCTGCTAAAAACTGATATGTAATATTCAAATTTCAGCTTTGTTTATTAAGCCAAAAATTGGAAAGAAGATAAATATCCAACAGTAGAAGAGTAGGAAAGTAAGTTCTGGTATATATGAGATGAAATAATATATTGTCTTTTAAATGGTTTTGAAGACAATTTTATAAAAGGGAAATGCCAAATATAATTTTATTTTTTCTTTCTGTTTTTTATTTTTAATTTTTTTTGCTGCCGATAGTATCAACCAGGTACTGAATATAATTTTAAATGAATTTAGCAGTATGCAATATGATCATAATTTTATGGAAACAAAGTTGCAAAAGGACTAGAAGAAAATATACTGTGGAGGAGACTACTAGCTGTCTACTGGAATACCTTCTCTTTTTCCTGGTATTTGGCCACACAACAATTCTCAGCCTCCCTTGTAGTTGCATGTGGCCATGTGACTAAGTTCTCTCCAATGGTTTGTGCACATAAATGATGTATTCCACATACAGGCTTGACTCATAAAAATTTCTCACATGTTTTTCTATGCCTTTAAATTAAAAAAAAATGTTTTACTGTCTTCAGTTGACTGGGATGTTGACACTCAGGGCAACCTTGGGAGTCACATGTTGAAAATGACAGCATATCATCAGCTTAGAATCCTGAGTGACCGCAAAGAGGTGAGTTGCCCTGCTGACCTGAGGACTCATCTAGGACTGTTAATTGAGGGAAGAAATACTTGTCTATGAAGTTCAGCTACCATGGTGATGCCTGATAGAACAGATGGGTGTGCATGTGAAACACCCACTGAGGACTTTCAGAACATTTGGTTGGGGGTGGAGATGGCATGTTTTGTAGGAAACCAAAGACTTTCATAGAGAAATGGGAATATAAACCAGTAACCTTTTAGCTATTGTTCAAGTCATCCCTTGCACCTGCATGCTGATGAGGTCTGAGGAAGCTTGGGCTACGTTTATTATTTATTTCCTTGTTTATTTATTTATGTATTTGTGAGACAGGGTCTCACTGTGTTGCCTGTGCTGGAGTGCAGTGATACGATTTCAGCTCACTGCAGTCTCAACCTCCTGGGCACTCAGGTGATCCTCCCACCTCAGCCTCCCAGGTAGCTGAGACTACAGGTGCACAACACCATGCCCATCTAATTTTTGTACACGTTGTAGATAAAAAGTTTTGCCATATTGCCCAGCTGGTCTCAAACTCCTGGACTCAAGCCATCCCCCCACCATGGGCTCCCAACGTGTTGGGATTAAAGGTGTCAGCCACCATGCCCAGATGTACCTGTGTTTTTAAAAAATATTTTAAATATGTATTTAATTAGGAAAGCTAGGAAAAAATACCAGCATATACATAATAAAATAGGAAAGTATAAATAAATCTAAAAATGTAGGCCAGAGAAAGAACAAATTAATACAGAAGATAAAAACCCAGGAAGATGCCATATACATGAGCAATTGAAACCTATACGGTTTCTGAAAATTGAGTGGAAGTTTAACTCTTATTTTCCTACCAACCAAAGTGATTTTTAATTGATTAACCCACTAGTCTCTTATCTGTGCAAATATTTCCTTCAGCAATTATTTCTGAAAGAAATTTTTCAGTGGCTCTTCATATAGGAGATAGCATCCTCAGCAATATTCCTAAGAAAATACTAGATTAACTGAAAGGACACTGTATCAAAACAAACTTTAGGAAAACAGAACCCAAAGAGGGATTGGGAGGGGCAACTGGACAATGGGACGTAGGTGATGATGGGCCCACTTGATCCAGGAATTAAACCTGTGTCCAGAAAAATCTTTGGAATTTCTGTCTTTCAAATAGTCTTTCATTAATATCCTTGCTCTTCATGATGCTTTTTACAAGTTGGGCAGCAGGTGATATTCGGGAGCTTTCTCAGTAACTGCTCTAGGCTCCCATCTTCTTCCCTTTGCCCACATGTCTGCAATAACTGCTGGAGAAAAATAACTTCTCTATTGCCCTCTGAGTTTTGTGGGAGTTCTTTTCATGAAGAAAATTTAGCTTAAAACCATAGATACAAGGGATTCTGGGAAATGCATTTCTGAGCTTCTCCTTGTGATGTTGAGCAGAGTGTAGAAAGAGGAAGATACAGTGCTGAGTGGATAAAGATCATCTGGCATACTTTGATATATGAGGCAGATTTTCAATATGGTAAGC